AGATTAAGGGATGATAAGAAAGGGGTTGGAAATATAAATAAGGGGTGGTGTAGAAGTCTTTAGTTGGTTGTTTTTGTCCGGACAAAAACAATCCGTAGCTCAATTCTGTCAGATCTAATTGATAGTGGTCATGTAGTCGAGAAAACGAAAGCCTTCAAAGTAATTCATCGCATCCCACCGAATCTTTCTAATAGACTTCGTACTCGTCTACCGCACACAGCTGAGGCGATAGGCATTCGAACTATTTGGCAACTACTTCGTTACTACGGGGTCCCATCGACAATTATACATCTCATCCAACAGTTATACGACAATGCTGCATACCGCCAAGTAATCCACAACGGGAAACTTACGGAAGCCTTCGAAGTGAGGACGGGAGTGCGACAAGGCTGTCTACTGTCACCAATGGTCTTCCTGATTGCAGTTGATTGGATAATGCGACAGACAACGGCAACCAACGAGGGAACCGGCATAAAATGGACTGACACAAAAGATTTGGAGGATCTGGATTTCGCCGATCATATATGTCTGATTTCCCACAAACTGGAAGATATGCAAGTGAAAAGCAACAAGTTGGCAGAAGAAGCATCCAGAGAAAATAGGACTTCAAGTGAACATAGATAAAACAGAGGTGATGAAGATTCCTAGCCAACATCAACAGCAGCAACAACAACAGACAACAATCAGCATAAATGGGAGGAACCTGAAAGAAACAACCTCCTTCACCTACCTGGGAAGCATCGTCTCAACTACAGGCGAATGGAAATGACGAGGATATCAAAGCAAGAATCGGAAAAGCAAGACAAGCTTTCATTACTCTCAAGTCTGTGTGGAGGTCAACAGCACTCAGCATCAAAAATAACATCCGGATTTTCAACTCCAATGTGAAGTCAGTCAGTGCTACTCACTATACGGATCAGAGACTTAGTGCGTCATAAACAGAATCTCCAACAAACTTCAGGCCTTCATTAACAATTGTCTTCGCTCAATACTAAGATCAGATGGCCGGCCAGAAAAGATCATAAACAGGGATCTCTGGGAGCGAACCAATCAGGAACCGATTGTAAAACAAATAGGCAGGAAGAAATGGGGATGGATTGGCCATACTCTGAGAAAACACGCCATGGGTGACATCACTAGACAAGCCATTGCTCGAGTGGAACCCGAAAGGGAAGCGGCGAGTTGGTCGTCAGTGCAAGGGTGACTTAGAGGAGGTCATGCGAGGAGGAGATGAAAGCATGTGGACAGACCTGGAGCGGGGTGAAAAAGTTGTCAGAAAACAGAAGGCAATGGAGGTTCGCAGCTGAAGCCCTATGTTCCTCTAGGAACTAAGGGATACAATAATAATAATAATAATAAATCTAAACTATGCATTCAAAAGAAGTTCGTATAGCCATTATCCCTCCCGTGGCCTAATAAGACATAACCAACTAAAGACTTCTACACCACCCCTTATTTATATTTCCAACCCCTTTCTTATCATCCCTTAATCTTATCACATGTTCATTACAAACGTGTTTCATTTCCTTCCCTTACAATCTAACATTACTTAATCGTTTCATTTGTTTTTACTAGCCTTTATCGACTACTTCCACCTGAACAATTGTTTGTTTAATCATACTGTTTTTCATTATTCGTGTTATCACAGATTGCCTCATTTTTTCATCCTTATTATTGATAAGACCATTATTATTACTCTGATTACTATTATTAATATTATCATTAGAGTTAAGCCTGATGAGATCTAATTGAAACCACAATATTGTTCGCTTAAATGTATTGTTCTAAATTTTACTATGGGAATATTTAATATATTGAAAACATTTATTCACAATCAAGAGTCAAGAAGCAAAATATTAATAACAAATGTTATTCATCACAAATTCATAAGTAAAAACACATTTTTTGTTCAGCGAAGAAATTTCTTTTCAACGACTTCATTTTCAAGCTGTACAGTCGTATTTATATTACAGAAAAAGGTTATTAAGTGGCACTAAATAATTGCTCAGTCAATGTACGTATATATGTGATAAAAGTTATAAGGGGTAGAGTTGAAGTGGATAAATTACAAAAATGTTAAAGATTGTTCTATAACAAAAATGTCAAGTGTTGTCTAACAAATTATGAAAATTAGGAGTACGATTACGATAAGAATGAAGATGTGAAGTGAAGTGGAAAGAATTCAAGTGGTAAAATAAAATAAAAACTAGAAAGAAAATTATTATGACCAAGGTAAAGAAAGGGGTTTGACAAAACGCTTTTGAACACATAATTTAGGTTTCTGTTCATGTATAGCTAAAGCTTCGGCTATGCATAAGTGAAGAAAACGTAAACTTTTGGATCGATTGGATTTTGCCATGTATATAACTTTGAAGGATGAATCACGTGGGGCTAAATGACCAGACTCTAACAGGTGATCACAGATAGACGACTTTGCAGTTCTACGTTCGCCTTTCATTAACCAAACCGGATAGTGTTCAGCTACACGTTTTCGGAGATTACGCTTACAACGTCCAATATAAACAGCTCCACAAGAGCAAGTAAAAGAGTAAATGCACATAGATGTGGACAAAAGCGGTAATCTATCCTTGACGCATTGTCTAATCATATTTCGGCTGGTAAAAACTAGATGCAGGTCAGCTGCAGGAAAAGTACGTTTAATACATTTAGATAAACGATTTTTAATCAATTCTGAAATGGTGTCACCTTTGAATGCAAGACTCATAAACAGTTTTTTCTTTGGTACTGTGACTTGTCTCGGGGTGGATTCTTTCTTGATGTTACGTTCAATGAACCTTTTGGGATAACCATTATTAAGGAGATTTGATCGAAGGTTGTCTAGTTCCCTATCGATTGTCTCTGGAGAGCAGATCTTACGAATTCTGGAGCATAAGGAGTGAATAAGATTTCTCTTTCTCCCTAAAGGTACCCAACTGTTGAAGTTAGTGTACTGCCCAGTGAATGTTGGCTTTCGGTAAATCGACCTAAGAAGCGTTCCATTCTCTCTTCTATCTAGCTTAACATCAAGAAAGTGAAACGAAGAATCCGACTCTTCTTCGATCGTGAAAAGCAAAGATGGGTGAGAACCATTAAATATTCTAAGAAGTTCAGCAGTTGAAGTGTTTTCATCACATACAATGAAGGTATCATCAACATATCTTTTATACATAAACAGACTATCGATGGTTTCCTTTAGTGGGCCATTCTCTAAGCTAGCCATGAAAACGTCCGCTAAGAGCGGTCCTAAAGGAGACCCCATGGCGACTCCATCTCTTTGGTTGTAGATGACATCATTAAATCTAAATTGCACATTCAGTGTGCATCTCAATAGTAGTTGTTTAAGATAATCAGTTGGTAAGCCAATGTTCATGTTATTTGATTCAATATACTCGCATAGATAGCAGATAGTGTCTACTAGTGGTACATTTGTGAACAATGAACAAATATCTAACGAAATCATATGCTTACCAGTCACATTAATTTCATCAACACAACTGACGAAGTCAAAAGTGTCAGAAAGACTATGTTTACATAGATTCAATCTAACTGCTTCATCACAAATTGTTCAGTGAAAGTGATAATAATAATCATTATTATTATTATGACATCAATTACATAACAAAATAACCAAGAATATGCATACAAACGACAGATGAGGTGGTAGAAATCGTGGAAAACACCCATAAGGGGCATTAGTAAGAAGAGAATAGGAAGTTCAGCAAAGATAACTGTCTTTTCGGCGATTTCATTTTCAAATGCAGCTCTACAATCGCATTTAAATCTATAATTTTACATGGATACAATTCTTGTTTGATTCCACATAATTACGACGGCGAATAAAAAGGTGATAATTATTTTCAACTAGGTGTGATTTTTACGAGAGGCTTAGAAACAAAGCTAACACAGGATTAGAACGGATAACGAATCCTATGTTCCTCTAGGGATTAAAGGATACAATAATAAATAAATAGAACGGATAACAAGTGTGTAGAAAAAATGGCATGGAAACAAAATTGAAATAATAATTTTAAACTTGAAATGGGAGTTAGGAGGTGCGAATATAGATTACGAGAGCCTAAAAAAACAAACATTACACAGGATTATAGCGAATAGTAGAAATCCACTGACTTTTACTAACTTTTGGTTTTAGGTTATTACGACTGTATATTGTTCCACGATTCCTCAGGTTGAGTCTTACTGTCGACCTTAGATATGCGTTTAGCTATTTCTTCCCTTAAATAAGGACTCAGAGTACTGATCAAGTTGGTGAGGAGTGGGGCACATAACTACTTCGCTGCTAACAGCTTTTATAAGTCCATTGTTCAACTGTAAGCATAAACGTGCACGAACCAAGACCGTGTCCCAGACGGAGTGATATCTGCCTATCGTGTTATGTGGTCACTGTTTCAGTCCAAAAGCCCTATATCTTCAGATAATATTTGAAAAATCATAAATAATTTTGCAAAACATTTAATCACAATCAAGAGTCAATAAGCAAAATAAGAATAACAATTTTTATTCGTCACAAATTGTTTAATGAAAATAATAATAATAATAATATGAATTAGATAACAAAATAACTAAGAATGCATACAAACGAGAGAGAGAAAAAAGGATATGCTTCGAAGAGGTAGAATATTAAAATAATTATTTCGACAAGGTCACAGCGATGTTAGTTAGTCAGTAAGTTAGTTCATTATTGTAGGAATGTGTTCCACAGAATGAAAGATACTTCCAAGAAGACATTTCATCAGTTAGCGAAACAATCAATGATGACGATACCATAGTCTGTACAATTCAATTATCTATCCTACATGTGTCTAGGATATCCAAAATGAAAATAATATTACGACTACTATTATTATTATAATGATGATTATTTCTTTTAAAATTATTTACAAATATATAAGAAATGATAATAATAATAATAACTAATAAGTACCGTTCAATGTGTTCAATTGATACTTAAAAAACTTGTACACACATTGAATATTAAACTTTCATAATAATTGAAATTTTAATTTCAACCGATCAATCACATATTGTGGCATACATAATACAGGATGAATAGGCTTCAGTTTATGATAAGCCACCTTCAGGGCAATGATAGCTGGATCTTCTTTTTCGCCTTCTTCTTGGTCAATTTCACCAGCACCAGAAGCATCGCCATTATCATGATTTGATCCACCATTTTGTGATGAAGAATGATGATCATGATGATGATGATTATTCTGTTGGCGGATGATAGCCATAGCGTTGGCATCTACACGAGCCAATAGAGATAGACCAGCCAGTCCGAATAGTGTATGAAATGGATCAGGCATATTCCCTGGTCGATCAGCAATCCCACCAGTTTGAATATCTTGTGAGGCTAAAATAAATCGAGTCAAATCATCGTGTTTAATCCATGTAAGTCGGCCAAGAATGGTGAGTGTAGCTACAGCCCACCTAAAAGAGTTAAGAGAGAGATAAAAAAAAATTGGATTGAAAAACATTTCCTCTTCTGGCTCTACAACTATATACATATAAGCATGTTTATATACATAGAATGTTCTAGAATAGACAACACCAGTGAGATACTAACACAGCACCTCAGAAATGCGGTGAAAAGAGCATTCCCTGCTGCTGAATTACGTTGTATCTTTAAAACCACTCCTCTTCTGCGTTTGGGAGTAAAAGACAAACTGCCTAATTTCGCTTCTTCCATGTGTGTACCTACCAATTTAACTGCTCCTGTGGAGTGAGTCGGTTACATAGGCCGTACAATTAGGTGTGTTTCTCGTCGAATTTCCGAACATCACCACCCTGCGTGGTTAAGCAAAGGACAAAGAAAATCTATTCACAGCGCTATTCTATTTCACTCATTTTGTGGATGCAGAACACAAGATTGACGTTAACCAGGCGGCTTTCATGGTCATTTACTGCAAATCAACCAACGAATCTTAAATTTGCCTTAAGAGTTCGACTACTAAATATTGCTGAGGCTGTGGAGATCCATATTAACAAGCCTAATTTATGCATCCAAAAGAAGTTAGTTCAGACGTTATCATTACCTTGGCCATACAGGTTTGAATAATCCTGAATTTTTTGTTGAATTTTCCTAATTTTAGTTGATATTCTATTTACTATTACTTTTTTATGCTTATTATAATGTGCACCTTTATTGAACTGTAATTCCACTATGATCTTAACGAATCGATATTATTCAAAAAACACTAATATTGTTATTGACTACTATTCTAGAATATTCTATGTATATAAAAATATATATAATTGTAGAGCCGGAAGAGGAATTTATCGAAAAGAATATTCTTTGCTCGATTATTTCGTATTCTAGAATAGTAGTCAATCTGCCTGTTTTCGACATAGAACTTTGCACCGATATGCACCAGTTCAAGTCGCCACACTCCATTCTATGTAGCACACAAAGCAAGAGTAAGCACAAGAAAAGCATAATAGAGACAGTAAACAGAAGTGTGAGACAAAGGAATAGTAATAACGAAGAACAAAACAGTTTCATTGGAAATCATAAATCACAAGGAGTGGATGCATCGGCGCCATTGACAACGATCACTTTGAGCCATATTACCGATTGTCTCCAGCCTTCATTGGTTTTTACTATCCCGACGACCCCAACCTGGAAGTCTACACCTTCCTACGTGGCTTAGACCAACTGTTGTGGATTTCATTGACTGGTGCCAAGTTTTTGTTTGACCTCCGCTAGCTTTTTTCCAGCCTGACCCTACATCCACTAACATTGCTCGTCCAGGAAGGCGATGACTAGGATGGGCATTCGTAACACATGTCCTAACCATCTCAGTCTTTGTAACTTCACAACTTCGTCGATTGATTTCCCCTCCTTACCTAGAACTCGACCGAGGCCTAACCTCAATATTGCTCACCTTATTGTGCCACTTCACACGGGAGATAGAACGCAGGCACCTACGATCAAAGACAGCTAGGCAGGCTTTTCATGTATTCCACTCTCAGTGGCCAGGTTTCACAGCTATAAGGGCAGTGCTCCCGCCCTTTGGTCGACAGTCGAATATCTCATCTACGCCAGAGACGGCGTAAACTGGAATATGCGAAACGAGCCCCCTGTATCCGTGCTGAGATTTCATCAGAGATCAACCCGTTGGCACTGGCTGATAGTACTTCCCAAATAAGTGAAGCGGTCGACTTGCTCTACCACTTCACTTCCTATTTTTAAACTAGGCGTCGATGTAGTCCAGTCCTGTAACATCATCTTGCATTTGGCGGGAGCGAATCGCATGCCAAAAATTCCCAGATTCCGGCTCAAGGTGTTTAGAAGACTCTTCATTTTGTCAGAGTCGTCGCCTAGGAGGACTATATCGTCTGCATATTCTAAGTCAACGAGATTATTCCCTGGTATCAAGTCAATCCCTGAATCGCTGAAGTCACTTAGGGTTAATTCCACTAGTACATCTATGATGAAGTTGAATAGAAAAGGCGATAATGGGCATCCTTGACGGACACCACTAGTCGTCACCAGTTCAGATGACAACTCGCCGTAAGCCCTCACCTGGATGTATGAGTACGAGTAGAGTGCCTTAATCAGTGCAATGTATTTTCTTGGCATTCCCTTTACAGCCAAGCTTCTCCAGAGAATCTCCCGGTCGACAGAATCGAATTCCGCCTTTAGGTCAAGAAATATAATGACTGTTGGACGCCGGTAGGAATTCCTATGTTCTAGAATCTGTCGGAGGGTGAAGATATGATCAATACACCCTCTTCCTGGTCTAAAGCCTGCCTGGCTCTCTCGTGTTTGTTCCTCCCGAGCACCACTTAGTCTACGCATCATTATTGAGCCTAGGACTTTAGACATTATATTAGTGAAGCTAATCCCTCTGTGATTATCACAGGAAGACTTGTCTCCCTTCTTGTATATCGGGATAATCAGTGACTTACACCAACCCGATGAGATTTCTTCTGATTCCCAGAGGCTGCCTAGAACCTCAGTTAATGCAGATGGTAAACTGTCTCCACCGTACTTAAATACCTCTGGAGTCATTCCATCAGGTCCTGATGCTTTGCCTTGTTTCAGATTGGTGACAGCCTTAGTAACCTCAGTTAGGGATGGAGGACCCGTGTCTATATCCCATTCAGGGAGGTGTTGGATGTTCGGCAGGTTGAGCGCGGCTATGGGCCAATTAAACTGCTCTTCATAGTGCTCTTTCCAGCGTTCCAGTCGTCTATCTTAGGAGCTAATTGTGGTAGGGATCGCCAGGTCAAACAGTGTCTCTCCTTATGTTTGAAGTTAGTGCTCACAAGAAACAAATGATTATCTGAACAGAACTGTAGGAGACGGTCACCGTTGTCGGTTCGCTGGCACGGAACTCTGTAGGTGCCACCAACATCCTTCTCAGATTGACACAATTTCCCTACTTGAGCATTAAAGTCACCAGCTAGAACGACTATGTCTGAGCCTTTAGCCTTTCGCATCAAACTAGACAGCTTTTGGTAGAACTCATCCTTCGTTTCATCTGAACTGCAGTCAGCGGGGGCGTCTGTCTGTCTGTGGGGGCGTAGGCGGAGATTACGAAAAGGCATCGGCGAGTAGTGCAGTCCTTCCTCCTTCTTACTGATCCGTTCAGGCGGACAGCACACATTCGGCTATCTACCGGGATCCAGTCAAGCAATGTCTTTTCTGCCCTAGTACTCAGAGCTATCCCTACACCAGCTAATCCTCGTGAACTAGCCGTCGCATCTCTTGACACCCTCAAGATGAATTTTGCAGATTCAACCTGTTGGCCAGGTGGGGTTAGGTGAACAACCACACTTGGGTCTTGTATGCGTGTTTCTGAAATACAACATACATCAGTGGCTCGGGATGCCAGGGTCTTGGCTAGTGATGCTTGTTGTCCTATTTGGCAAAGTGTCCTAACATTAAATGCTCCTATATGAAATTGGTGGCGTGGCTTTAGGAGACTATCGGTGGTGGTATTTTGGCTTCCGTCGTTTTTAGTGGACACATAGTGGAGAGGAAGTGAAGAGCTATCAAGCAGAAGAGTTGCATCAGTGGAAGGAAGGCAAGATGATAGAGATGAAAATGACGAAAAAGATGAGTGAGTATTAGAGAGGTTTCGTGCGCATTTCGGATTGTGAGGGCGATTGTTACTTCCCGGCTGCCCACACCGTGGAAGTTGGTTGTGTGACCACAGAGCCCAGGGGACAACTGCTTGAGGCTGGTCACAAGCCGCCTACTTTTCTTTGTTCGTTATTGTTTTGTGTGTCTCAGTAGCGCACTTATCACTCCTGCCCTGTGACACGGCAGCAGGAAGCGCGGTCGTTGTTAATCCAGGCCACGGCCGATCCGGCATGAAGTTTTGTAATTTGTTTGCATCATAATGTTGGATTGGGTAGCTGCTTTTTGTTTAACCGCTATCCAAACAACCTTTCTGGCATGGTAGGACCTCAAGAGACATAAGTCTCAGCCAGTAATAGCTTGATAGGATCATTGCGATGTTCAAGCCTGACCACCACGTCAAGGTAGCAGCTTTCGGCCGGAAAATAGTAGTCAATAAAAATATCAGTGCTCCTGTGGAGCCAGTTAGTTGCATAGGCTGTACAATTAGGCGTGTTTCTCGTCGGATTTCTGAACATCATCCTGCGGAATGGTTTAGTGAAGGACAAGCAAAATCTATTCGTAGCGTTATTCTATCTCACTCATCTTGTGGATACAGACAGAACACAAAATTGATGTCAACGAGGCTTTCAGAGTCATTTAACCGCATACCAATAAATCTCAATTTATTCAGAACAAAACATAGTTACAGCGAATAATTGTGGTTTCAATAAATTGTTCCCTCTTCAGGCTCTACAATTATAAATCCAATAATTAATTTAAGCATACAATAGCCAGCCAGCCAGCCAGTAAGGGCAAATTAGAATCATATCATAAAGTGTATTATGGAACAAGTATAAGTAAGATGGGATGGAACAATAGTCAGTTAGTTTTTTAATATGCATGGTCAATGAGAACATGGGACAAAATGAGATGAAGTAATTTAATTTAATGATCTGTGTGTATATACATATATATAAATAGCCAACAGAAAAATGCAGGTTTTGAGAGTGAGTGTAATCAGGGTATGTGAAACAATATGAAAATAAACCAACAAATTGGGCGGTCTAGACATAAGTTCAAGGTTGAAAATAACAACAATAAGAATGATTGTAAAATAACAACGATGATGTGGTGTAAAACTACAAGTACTATTGGTGAATGATTGTCAAATAATAACAATGAATTTAGTGAAGTGAAATGAACAGGATTTTGTCAAATACGATAGCAAGTTAGACAAAGCACTACTTAAACCTAAAGTGATAAGATCATAAGAAAGATCATAATGAAATCATAAAAGTCGAAAATGAACGTTTGTCAATGAAACAGAGGAATAGAAGAAGACGAAGAAAAGAAAATTGTGAAAGGAATTTATAGTGTTAATGGAGGATTTGTTGGCTTTATTGTAGGCCGTGGTAAACATGAACATACTTCTTCAGTATACAAAGAGTTGGTTTTCTGGCATTAATTGCAACCACTCAATTTCGCCTTAAGACACTTCGACCACTAAATATTGCTGAGGCTGGCTGTTGGAGTCCACATTAAGAAGCCTAATTTATATGTCCAAAAGAAGCCAGTTCAGATATCATCTTTACCTTGGCCATCTAGGTTTGAATAATCCTGAATTTTTGTGAAATTTTCCTAATTTTATTTGGTATTCTATTTGCTATTATATTTTTTATTATTATTATAATTAAGGCATCTCTAATGAACTGTAATTTCAAGTGTTGGTTTGTAGAGATTTGATTGGATGGAGGATTTCATCATGAGCTGACATTGGTTTTCCAACGGTCCTCTTGTAACAACAGAAGACAAGGGCCAGGCAACAGATCGTTTTATTATGAAAATCAACACGTATTTATACATATTTCACATACATTATTATAGCTTATGCAAGGAGACAAGCGCAGTTATCTGATTGGTTGTTTATCAGAAGTTAGGCAGATAAACGCAGGCTTCTGATTGGTTGTTTCGGGATTCCTCGACAAATAGAGTTCTCTATCTGCGAATCATATTTTGCCACGTTAACTTTGCTGTGATTGGTTGTTGAATCAGCCTTGCTCATATTTTCTCACGGCCTGCTCTCACCACACTCTAACCGATGTCAGCTCATGATGAAATCCTGTAACTGTGATTCCATTGTGATCTTACTTCACAAATCGATATTACTTAGAGAAACACTAATATTGTTGTTGATTACTATTCTAGAATATTCTATGTATATAAACAGTGTACAATTATATATGTCCCGACTAAGTTCACTTTTAATGGTTTGAAAAAATTTGGGCACAGGGTATATCATATTCATTATAATAAAGGTTTTGTATTTCCATAGAATGAAAAACAAAATGATGCTCTTGTTTTTACTGACGTTTCGCTATTTAATGCTAATAGCTTTATCAAAGTATTATTAAACCGGAATTTACAAAATCTCACCATATATATATAACAAAGAGTTAAGGGGTCAGAAAATACACTTAGGTCAATTTAAAGAGACATATAGAAATCCTCCATGGAATCAGACATATAGAAAGTCAAAATAGTAATGAAGATCACTAAACCAAATAACAAAGGTAATAGTACGTCTGTTATGATATCAAGACAAAGTTTACTAACTTGATCATCGTTCATCTGTCTTGGGTAGTTTTTTGTTGTCAAGTTGGTCAATTGGTGAAGATAACAAAATCAAGTGTATAGAATCAGGCACAAAATTAATTTTGACAATATTGAAATAATCAGAAAAACTTCAGAAATCACAAAGAACGTCTAATATCAGAAGCCAGCACTTCATATCAAGTGGAATCCAAATTGCCTGAATAGGAATGATGGACTAAAACAGAATCGCAACACCTCCCTCTCAATGAAGTGACAAAATCAACACGAATGTGATAAGCAAGTTCACTATGTAAACAAACACTACTTTTGTAATTTTACACATTGATCAAATCCAACAATCTACACTTGATTTTGTTATCTTCACCAATTGACCAACTTGACAACAAAAAGCGACCCCAGACTAACGAACGATGATCAAGTTAGTAAACTATATTTTGATATTATAACAAACATACTATTACCTTTGTTATTTGATATACGAGCCAGCTTGCCTCGTAACCTGAAGGTCCTGTGTTCGAACCCTGGCAGTGGGTGCATAGTGCCGGTGATTCCCAGAATAGGATGAAACAGCCTGCTGTCCAGTACTCCGGTGCTGTGGCTGGTTTTCAATGGTTCTCTCTAACTGATTGATATCAATTCGTGATCAACTCGTAAAATAAAACTAATCCTTACAAACCAACTGTAGAGAATTTATGTAAGCTTCTAGGCAAAAATTAGAAATGCATTTCAGCAACACACTTCATTTGAATACTGCTACTAATGATACTATTTGGTTGTGTTAGGACGAAGTAGGCGAAGAAGAGTTAACCTTATAAGATGACGTATTCCCTGAAAGCTAAATGTTCAAGCCAATGAACGAATGAATCATTAAGCTGATTTCTCTAAGCCTACGAATACCCAAAATGCAAAGTTTCCTCAACAAGTTTCCTTGAGCAGAAATCTTTGAGTATTTAGCATGCGATTCACGCGCTCCTGTCGAATGTAAGATCATGTTACAGGACTGGGATACACCGGTTGTCAGCTTAAAGTTAGATAAGTGAAGTGGTTGGTGGAGCGTGTTGACCACTTCACTTATATGGGAAGTTGTATCAGCCAACGCCAGAGGGTTGATCGCTGATGAAATCTCAGCACAGATACAGAGGGCTAGTTTCGATATGCCAGTTTACGCCGTCTCTAGCTTAGTAGACGTGATATCTGGCTATCGACCAAAAGGCGGGTGTACTGCTCAGCAGTTCTCTCAGTCTTCCTTTATGGCTGACTGTGAGACATGGCCATTGAAAGTGGAAGACATAAAAAGGCCGGCTAGCCTTCATTGATCATAGGTGCCTGCGTTCTATCTCTCATGTGAAATGGTTTAATAAATAATAATAATTTTTCCTTCACGTTCACACTGGAACATAGGGCTTTAAGCTAGTGGCTTGAAGTGTCTGAAGCAGTGTTTACTTTTACAGGATGGGGTGGCTGGCCTCATGCCCAACCTTCCTTCTTTACCAGCATTTTTCTCTGGTTTAGAGAGGTAAAGGAGTTCGTCGGCCGAGGATCGAACCCCGGACCATGTGTATGGTCGGCGAGCGTCCTCACCGCTATGCCACCGACGCACGAAGTGGTATAATAAGGTGAGCAATATTGAGGTTAGGCTTCGGTCGAGTGCTAGGTAAAGAGGGAAAATCAATTGACGAGGCTGTGAAATTACATCGACTGAGGTGGTTAGGATATGTTACGCATGCATCCCTAGTCATCGCCTTCCTCGACGGGCGATGTTAGCTGACTGACATAGGGTCAGGCTGGAAAAGAGCTAGTGGCGGTCAAACCAAAACATGGTGCCAGTCATTGAAATCCACAACAGTTAGTTTAAGCCAGTCAGCCATGTAGGATGGTGTAGACTTCCTAACTGGTTGGGGTCCTCGGGACGGTAAAAACCAATGAAGGCTGGAGACAATCGGTAATATGGCCGGCTCAAAATCGTTCTCAATGGCTGGCGAAGATGCATCCACTCCATGTGACTTATGATTTCCAATGAAACTATATTGTGCTTCATTATTATTGCTTTGTCTAACACTTCTGTTTACTGTCTCTATTTTGCATTTCTTCTACTTTCTTTTCCTGCTTTGTGTGGTATATGGAAGGAGTGTGGCGACTTGAACTGGTGCACATCGATGTGAAGTTCTATTTTGAAAATAAACAGACAGACAGACAGACAGACTTGTTAGTCAGTCAACACTTGAAAAACTAAAAAATTAAATAAAATAGAATCTGAACTTACCATGAATAACAAACATCAGGCTGCTTTTCAGGTCTACCATTCAAACCTCCACTCGGAAGTTGACGTTCTGCTAACCACCAAGCAGCACGATCTATATTCAGTCGACGTAACCGACGTAGGATAGCTAAAGCCCCGACAACACAATATGCTTGACCAGCGTGTGATTCACTCCCAGGTTGAGTACCGAAACAACCGTCTAAATTTTGACATTGTTCAAGGTATGTAGCACAGGCTTCAATATCAATAACATCATTGGATAGCATACCAAGTATGTGTAATATGGCAACAGCACAGAATGCAAAACGCGTATCTATTTCACCCCAAATATCTCCAGCGAAACTGCCATCTTTTTGCTATTTTCAAATAACGAAAAAGAAAATAATAATTTAATGTGATGCAATTGGGACGAAGTTAAACTTCTTAGACACCCATCAGTAATGACCTTAGAACAATCCAAAGAGTAAGGCAGATAATAATACATTCATTTTTAAGAGTTTGACCACGGATTGCTAACACAGTTAGAGAACCATTGAAAACCAGTCACAGGGAGTACTGGACAGCTAGCTAGCTGTTTCCTCCATCCTACTTTGGGAAGTCAAAATCCATGCGCCGGCCATTGAATCGGCTCCGGTCCCAGTGGTGGAATGGTCTACAAGCTGGTTTGTTTGCTTGTAATTGGAGGGTCTTGGGTTCGAACCCCTGTGGAGTGGGTGCGTACTGCCGATGATTCCCAAGGTAGGACGGAGGAAACAGCTGTCCAGTACTCCTCTGTGGCTGGTTTTCAATGGTTCTCTCTAACTGATATCAATCCATGGTCAAACTGTCTGTCTATTTTCAAAATAGAATTTGCACAATGTCCACCAGTTCATGTCGCCACACTCCCTCCATGTACCACACAAAGCAGGAAAAGAAAGTAGAAGAAATGCAAAATATAGACAGTAAACAGAAGTGTTAGACAAAGCAATAATAATGAAGCACAATATAGTTTCATTGGAAATCATAAGTCACATGGAGTGGATGCATCTTCGCCAGCCATTGAGAACGATTTTGAGCCGGCCATATTACCGATTGTCTCCAGCCTTCATTGGTTTTCACCGTCCCGAGGACCCCAACCAGTTAGGAAGTCTACACCATCCTACGTGACTGGCTGGCTGGCTTAAACTAACTGTTGTGGATTTCAATGACTGGCGCCATGTTTTGGTTTGACCGCCACTAGCTCTTTTCCAGTCTGACCCTATGTCAGTCAGCTAACATCACCCGTCGAGGAAGGCGATGACTAGGGATGCATGCGTAACATATCCTAACCACCTCAGTCGATGTAATTTCACAGCCTCGTCAATTGATTTTCCCTCCTTACCTAGCACTCGACCGAAGCCTAACCTCAATATTGCTCACCTTATTATACCACTTCACACGGGATATAGAGCGCAAGCACCTATGATCAAAGACAGCTAATCTTTTCATGTCTTCCACTCTCAATGGCCAGGTCTCACAGCCACGAAGGAGCACGGAGCGGACTGACGAGCAGTATACCCGCCCTTTGGTCGATAGCTGGATATCAGGTTTACTAAGCCAGAAACGGTGTAAACTGGCATATGCGGGACTAGCCCTCTGTATCCTTGCTGAGATTTGGTCAGAGATCAGCCCGTTTGCACTGGCTAAATGCAACTTCCCTATTTCTAAACTAGGAGTCAGTGTAGTCCAGTCTTGTAACCACATGCACGCCAAACATTCGTAGATTGCAGCTCAAGGTGTTCAGAAGACTCTGCTGTATTTTGTCAGCGTTCTCACCTAGAAGAACTATGTTGTCTGCATATTCTAAGTCAACGAGATTATTCCCTGGTAGCAAGTCAATCCCTGTGTCTTTGAAGTGAGTTAGGGTTAAGTTTATTAGTACATCTATGATGAGATTGAATAGAAATGGGGATAATGGGCATCCCTGACAGACACCACTAGTCATTACCACTTCAGATGACAACTCGCCGTAAGCCCTCACCGTGGTCAAACTCTTAAAAAAACAAATCTAATCCTTACAAACCAACTCTTGAAAATAATATATATTCATTAAAAAATACTGTTGAATGAATAGTGGTGATACTAGACAGGATATCTAGTTAGTTACATAAATAGGTTAGGGAAAGATTAAGGTCAGGTTTGCCCTCATAAATGACCTAGTACGACGAGGGTGAATAGACTTCGATCCCCACCTCCAAATGATCCCATATAGCCACACGTGTTCATAGCCTATCCACAATTTAAGTCTTATTCACTGGAGGTGTTCCTTACAGAAGTGAAATAGAGAACGAAAACATCTCGTTTAGACACCACCTAATGGATAGAAGACAAAAGGTAAGGGTTAATGGTGTACTACCACAGTGGAAAGCAGTATTGAGTGGAGTACCTCAGGGAACTGTACTAAGCCCCTTGCTATTCCTATTATACGTAAATGAGCTACCCGAAATTCTCACCTTATCTTCTTTCTTATTCGCGGACGACATTAGGATCTGAGAAACCGTAAAACAAATAACGGTCTTACAAAGTGATCTAGATAAATCAACTGAATGGCAGAATCTTTGGAGTACGGAAATTAATTCCAAGAAAGGCGCAGTAATGAACATAAATCAGATGTTTTACATTTTGTAGTCCCTGGGAGACACAGAACTGTCGGATGTTAATGGATAAAAGGACTTGGGAATTATTGTCAACCTTCCTTCGAAGTAAAGACGGGAGTAAAACAAGGCTGCCTACTATCGCCAATGATTTTCCTGATTGTAGTAGATTGGATAATGCGACAGACAGTGGGCAGCGAGGAAACAGGCGTAAAATGGACCCTCCCAAAAAACTTGGAGGATCTGGACTTCGTCGATGATATATGTCTGATTTCTCACAAACTGGAAGATATGCAATTGAAAAGTAACAAGTTGGCAGAAGAAGCATCAAAGATAGGACTCCAAGTAGACACCCAGAAAACAGAAGTGATGAAGATTCCTGAGCAACACCAACAGCAACAACAGACAACAATCAGCATAAGTTGGAGGAGTCTGAAAGAAGCAACCTCCTTAAACCTGCCTACCTACCTGGGAAGCATTGTTTCAACTACAGGCGGACGGAACTGATGAGGATATCAAAGCAAGGATCGGGAAAGCAAGACAAGCTTTCATTACTCTCAAGTCTGTGTGGAGGTCACCAGCACTCAGCATGAAAGTAAGATCCGGATTTTCAACTCCAATGTGAAGTCAGTACTACTATACGGATCGTAGACTTGGAGCGTCATAAAGAGCACCTCAAACAAACTACAGACCTTCATCAACGGCTGTGTCTCCACTCAATACTACTCAAGATCAGATGGCCGGCCAGAAAAGATCAGCAACAGGAATATCCGGGAGCGAATCAGCCAGGAACCGATTGTGCAACAAAACTGCAGGAAGAAATGGAGGTGGATTGGCCATACTCTGAGGAAACCATCAAGTGACATCAATAGACAAGCCCTCGAGTGAAATCCAAAAGGGAAGTGACGAGTTGGTCGTCAGTACGAGGGTGACTTGGAGGAGGTGATGTGAAGAGGAGATGAAAGCATGTGGGCAGACTTGGAGTCAGATGTAAACGTTAGCAGAGAATCGAACGCAATGGAGACGTGCAGCTGGGACCCTATGCTCCTCCAAGAATTAAAGGAAAAAATAATAATAATGATTTGAAAACAACGGCAAATTATAATGCAGCCGCAGCCGCAGGCTTTTTGAAAGCTATGAGATCTTCGAAGGGCTTTCAAACGATTAGACGAGTCTCTGTTCAAAGTACTCTACAAACGTACGGCAGGCTTTATCTAGAATACTGCATGCAAACGGTGAGTCAATGCTTCAAGAAGGAGGGGCATATCTTAGAAAGAGTACAAAGGGTAAGAACCAAATTAGTCAATGGTATCTCACACCTTCCTTATGACAAGAGGATGCAGCATTTGAATCTCTTCCCATTACCACAGCGAAGGAGGAAAGGCGACCTAATTCCCGTATAGCGTATATTAAAGGGTTATTTAGGAATTCACCTTTCTAATCTTTCCTCTCGCTCTAAGGTACATTTTCGAAGTCACCACAAAAAGCTGTTCAAACCAGCGGACGAATAAAAAAAAACTTGGTAAAGGAATGTTTATTTTAAATAGGTATCTCTATATAGCCAAACTATGTACACTTCATCTTCAGTGTACCACCTGCACAGATCTTCATCTTGTGGTACTTCTGGACTTCATATTGTGTTTCCTTGTGTTCTTTTCACGTCTCCTATGTATCTATCTCCACAATTCTGTCTCATTCGCCTTCTCTGACATCAAATGTGTCTCCTTGCTATTTGATATTTTTATGCCGACGAACGTCTCTTTATGTATACTACTGGGTGCGTCGGTGGCACAGTGGTTAGGACTCTCGCCGACCATGCACATGGTCCGGGGTTCGAGCCCACGCTGACGCACACCTGATATCTATGGTCGGCCTGCGAATTTTGGGCTACCGATATCCACGCTGAAAATTCCACACTTGTCCCAAAAATACGGTGTGGAGTCAAGCTGTAATCAAAAATAAAAAAAATAATAATTCTTATCAGTAGCACTCACTACAGTCTGAAGCTTGCTTGCTTTGGAAACCATAGGAACGCTACTACACTTTCTTGTGGATCAGAATTTAAGACAAAGACTCCGGGTGATAGGCCCTTAAGATAGTCTACCTGCTTAGATCTAGGTGTCCGCGACGTATTCCAACCCCTCGCACAAAATGATATTTTGTGTGGCACATTTTCTTGGTACCCATAATGTAGCAAATTTGTGTTATAGCAATAAATAATAATTCAGCTAACTATAGGTGATTATTATGTAACAGTTTGCTTCATCTGACTTTTGTCATTATGAGACTTGTCAGGTGACAATAAAATAATTAACGGTAATCTGCATAAGCGATTCTTCAGGATCACAGCTAAGGGATTAATCACCTTTAAATTCAACACTCATAAATAGCAGTTTCTTGAATATCACCTTCGAATTCTAGATTAAGCAGAAGTATTTTCTTTGGAACGGATCGGACTTGTCCGGAAGTCTTCTTAGATTTGAGATTCTTGTCTATGCACCTGGGAGGGAAACTATTTTCCATCAAGGTTTTTTGAAGATTACGTAGTTCTTCTTCAATCACTTCCTCGCTGCATATCTTCCGAATCCTTGAGGAAAGAGCCTATATCAGGTACCTCTTTCTACTTAGGGGCACGAAGCTTTGAAAGTTGATGAATTGTGCATTCCATGTGGGTTTTTTGTATATGGACCTTTCCAGAGAGTTGTTGGCATTTCTTGTCAGATGAACGTGGAGGAAATGAAATGAAATAAGACTGCTCAAACCATCATGGTTGGAGCACATTTCACAACGACACCCCAAAGGCTTTAACCAGTCAGCCACAAAACCTGAAAGTCTTTAAGAAGTAACCCGATTTGTATCAAAGAAAGCAACACAGGCTCAATGTCTGTCTGTCTGTCTGTTTTCGACATAGAACTTTGCACAAATGTGCGGAAGTTCAAGTCGCCACATTCCGTGTAGCACGCGAAGCAAGAGAAGAAAGTACAAGAAAAGCATAATAGAAACAGTGAGCAGAGGTGTGAGACAAAGGAGTAATAAAGAAATACAAAACAGTTTCATTGAAGATCATAAGTCACAGGGAGTGGATGCATCTGCGCCACTGAGAACGTTTTGAGCCATGTCACCAATTGTTTCCAACCATAGATTTTTACCGTCCCGAGGACCCCAGCCTGGAAGTCTACACCTTCCTACGTGGCTTAGACCAACTGTTGTGGATTTCATTGACTGATGCCAAGTTTTTGTTTGACCGCCGCTAGCTTTTTTCCAGCCTGACCCTATATCCGCTAACATTGCTCGTCGAGGGAGGCGATGGCTTGGCATACGTAACACATGTCCTAACCATCTCAGTCTTTGTAGCTTCACGACTTCGTCGATTGATTTCCCCTGTTTACCTAGAACTCTACGCCTAACCTCCATGTTGCTCACCTTATTATGCCACTTTACACGGGAAATAGAACGCAGGCACCTATGATCAAAGACAGCTAGTCTTTTCATGTCTTCCACTCTCAGTGGCCAGGTCTCACAACCATAAAGGAGGACGGAGCGGACTGATGAGCAGTACACCCGCCCTTTGGTCGATAGTCGAACATCTCGTCTACGCCAGAGTCGGCGTAAACTAACAAATGCGAAACGAGCCCCTTGTATTCGTGCTGAGATTTCGTCAGAGATCAGCCCGTTGGGGCTGATGGTACTTCCCAAATAAGTGAAGCGGTCAACGTGCTCTACCACTTCACTTCCTATTTTTAAACTAGGCGTCGATGTAGTCCAGTCCTGTAACATCATCTTGCATTTGGCGGGAGCGAATCGCATGCCAAACATTCGTAGATTGCGGCTCAAGGTGTTTAGAAGACTCTGCATTTCGTCAGCGTCTTCGCCTAGAAGGACTATATCGTCTGCATATTCCAAGTCAACGAGATTATTCCCGGTAGCAAGTCAATCCTGAGTCGCTGAAGTCACCTAGGGTTAAGTCCATTAACACATCTATGATGAAGTTGAATAGAAAAGGAGATAATGGGCATCCTTGACGGACACCACTGGTCGTCATCAGTTCAGATGACAGCTCGCCGTAAGCCCTCACCTGGCTGTATGAGTACGAGTAGAGTGCCTTAATCAGTGCAATATATTTTCTGGAATTCCCTTTACAGCCAAGCATCTCCAGAGAATTCCCGATCGACAGAGTCGAATGCTGCCTTTAGGTCAAGAAATATAATGACTGTTGGACGCCGGTAGGAATCCTATGTTCTAGAATCTGTCGGAGGGTGAAGATATGATCAATACACCCTCTTCCTGGTCTAAAGCCTGCCTGGCTCTCTCGTGTTTGTGCTCCCGAGCACCACTAGTCTACGCATGATTATTGAGCCTAGACTTTAGATACTATATTAGTCAAGCTAATCCCTCTGTGATTATCACAGGAAGACTTGTCTCCCTTCTTGTATATGGGGATAATCAGTGACTTACACCAACCGATGGGACTTCTTCTGATTCCCAGACGCTGCCTAGACCTCAGTTAATCGAAGTAACTGTCTCCACCGTACTTAAATACCTCTGGAGTCATTCCATCAGGTCCCGCTGCTTTGCCTAGTTTCAGATTGGTGACAGCTTTAGTAACCTCAGTTAGGAGGAGGACCTGTGTCTATATCCCATTCAGGGAGGTGTTGGATGCTCGGAAGGTTGAGCTGGCTGTGGGCAAATTAAACTGCTCCTCATAATGCTCTTTCCAACGATCCAGTGTCTATCCTGGAGCTAATTATAGTGCCATTTTTTTCCGAGATTGTCTCACTAGATTTGTCTTCTCCCACCCGTTTCCCTGATGAGTCCAAAAGTTGCCTGGTGTTGCCTATCCTCGAAGCTTTCTCCATCTCTTTGGCTTTTGTCGCCACCACTGTTCACGGCCTTGCGGAGACAGGCTCAATGAAGTATGCGTGAACCTGAAGACTGAGAATAAAATTGTTCATACAAGTAGAATTTATTTATGGCTACAAAAAATTTTCTCATGTTAAAACTGTCAATAGTTCTAGTAGGGATGACATTATGAACTTATTGTGAGAGAAAGAACAAGGAGAGATTCAGGTGATAAAAAACAGTAGGCTTTCGTGACTTGTAGAGATCTAATTTCTCTTTGAATGCGTACATCGACGGAGTTGATATTACTTGATCGGGTTAAGAGTTCTAGTCAATGATCACTTTATGTGAAAAACGCTGTTTAAGCATCATTAGGTGATGACCTCGCAAAAGTATCTTAAAGAAGAAGAAAAGGGTCAGAAAGGTCAACACCCAAATTCCTTCTTCATATGTGATATTCAAAAATTGTGTCACCACTACTTCTTTGGTATGATACAGAGAAGTTTACGTATTCCAGCCTTTTGTCATAATGAAGGTAAGAGATATCGCTGACTAATATAGTTCTAAGATTCGTATCTCATTTTGAAGCCTGAGCTAACCTCTTGCATGCAGTATTAACAGTAAGGCTTGAGATATATTTTGTTGAGTACTTTAAACATAAAATCGGTTACCTGAGCTTAAAGTTGCTTAAACTGGTTCCATGTAGTCTCACGTAGAAGCTGCATGGAACTAATTCAAGCAACTTTACGCACAAGTAAACGAACTTTTCATCCCTTGGTCTCTCCCAAAGGGACGAAAACATTGTCTTCTATGGATAAACCTAGAGATTCGTTAGTTACTCAGACGCAAACACAAATGTTGGAACCTGTTTGCCACACTTGAGACTCCTGAGACCAGGAAATCATTCAACACTGCAAAGAACAGAGCTGTTGCAGAAATCTGTCAATCAAGGATGAAGTTCGAAATACATCTCGCTCAAAATGCATCGGTACCACCAAGGCAAATTTTCTCGTACATGAAGTTCAGCAATAAAACATCCAAAGGAGTCCCAAACCTGACTATTGACGAAACAATCGAAGGGGGCCAGGAAAAAGCAGATGAGAAGGCAAACTACTTCTCCAAAGTCTTTACGCAGGAGTCGTATGTGCTCACCGATCCCCCTATGGTCTTAAACGCAGATGACTTAAGGATTTCGAGGTAGCTGAGAGGTGACAATGATACGATCACGTTGCAAGACCTCAACAAATTGTTAGTGGTCCAAGGAATGGATGCTCCCAATCAACGCAGAGAAAAGAGCAATCATGCTCATTGGACAAACAAAAGTCAGCTCTTACAAACTAGAAGGAACAACACTCCCATTAGTTCAAAATCACTTGGATTTAGATTTCATAGTAAGTTACAACTTAAAAAAATATAGCACAGTTTTGCACGGAGACAGTACATAGTCTCAGATCTTCATGGGCAATTTACAAAGCCCTTACTAGAATCACCAGAGACACATCCCCTCTTCGAATACATCTTTGTAAGGTCGAGACTAGAAAAATGTATCCAGGCAACCAGTTCTTGTGCTTCTAGAAAGGGGTTCAAAGGAAGGCAATACATATGATTCTAAGCATGACTAATTTATCACACAGAGAAAGAAGAAACAATCTAAATCTATTCTCCCTATCATACCGTAGACAGAGAGAATATTTAATCACAATGTTTAAAACTTTAAATAATGACTACGGACCTAACCTATTCTCTGTTCCTTCCCACCAGGTAGGAAAACCCTAGAGGACATAGCAGATGAGTTCAAAAGCCAAGGCGAAACCATATTGCTGTGAAGTACTGGTTCTCACATCGAGTCATAAACTACTGGAACCGACTACTCCCAGAAGAAGCAGTATCAGTGCCCTCAATCGACTCATTTAAGAAGGGTTTGAATGAGCATACAAATTTACTAGAGACAGATTTACATGGGCTTCAAGCTTTTATTCTCAGTTAATAAATCTGAACCTGATATCTGTTTGAAAGCTTTTCCAGAAAACGCATTACTGATCAACTTGTCGTTGTTAGACAGTAGGGTTTCACAGATGCCGTTAATTTGCCTACATATGTTATTCGCACTAACAGATAAATGAGACATTAGAATTGTTATGAGTTTCTATATGACGGAGAATATAAGATGGTTGTTTGTAATACGCAGAACAGTTTATTGATTCAAAGTGACTTAGGTTTGAAGTTATTTCTAAAAACAAACAGCCGAGTATTCATGAGGGCACAGGATGTTATGTGTCAAATAAGTTAACTTAAGCTTTAAGGAGTAGGTACATATAGAAGCATCGAATTGTGGTTTTACAATAAATTCTCCAATTTATGACATATAATGCCTTAAGCAAATCATAGTACCTGGTGTGATATATAGAAGCGCAAAGAAAAATATATAAAATGTGATAGACTTACTTGTAATTTGGCGACATATTCACAAATTTTTTCAACGTTAATGTTATCTAATGAGTCAAAAAGTGCTAGAATCTGAATGGCACTAAGTGTTGACAGTAGATGTGAATCATGTTTGGGTGACGGGGAGAACCCTCCATCAGCTTTTCTGCAACTCAATACGTAATCGACCATTTCATCTCTATCTACTTCGGATAAGGCATCGAGAAGATCAAGAGCCGTTAAAACCCAATATATGCCAGACATTTTGCAGTAGTCCATGGTGGAATCTGTTTTCTTGGTGCATTTTACTAAAAACTTTATGTGGCTTTGGATCAACAGTTCTTTTGGGTAGTTTTCTTTAATGTTTTCATCAATAATAGGGTGTGCCATCAGCTCCGACGTGACCTTCAACTGTACACAGCGCCACTTAATTTACGGGTAACGTATTGAAAAAGGATAATGGTTTTTAGAATTATTCACCAGGGTTTTCTCCATTGTTTGGCTTTGAATAAGTGAAAAGCAGCTGCTGATAAGATATGCTGTGTTGTAGCACTTATACTGGTTCATAGTTCGAGGCTAGAAACTAACTTCCAGATATAGACTATTCGACAGAGGTTATAGAGATTGAAAGTCATATCATAACATAAGTTCCATTCTGGTGGGAAAAACAGGATTGGGTAAATCAACACACGAATATTTACGCAAAACAGGAGGCTCTAGAATTAGGTTACTCCTTAATATATGTGTAAAACTCGGGCACTGTGGTAGTATGCAATTCCATATTAATTTTTCTGCTATGTATATAACACAGTGAAACAGCAGTAATTACTGGATGACGTTTCGCATATAATTTTTTGTTCATAATCATATTAGTTATAATCACACGATTTCGAAAAATAGGCTTTATAGTTCTCTTGACTCTTCCATGTGTCGTGGTACACTACTGTATATATATACTACTACTATATCTAATAAACAAATTAATATGGAATAAGATTGCTCCTTACTGGCCGATATGGCAGTGTAAGTAAATCTGGTCGATTCAGTCTCTTCTTATTACCCCCAATATCTTTGTAATGAACTCGTATAAGCCAGGAGGTTTCTTCGCACCCTCATGTCGTTGTTTCGAGGCGGTTGTAGTGCTTTGATGGATCACAGTACAATCTATCCCTTTGAGTACTACAGGTTTGCTGGTTCTAAAAAGGGAAGCTGTAATGTTTTGTTTTTTGAAGGGAGTGGATGCATGATTTCTTCAAGGGCAGTAGTTTCTCTGGGACTAGCTAACATTTTGTGGCCGGGCTGTCCTCTGGTTAGGTGGACAAACGCTCAAAAAAGGCTTTGGTAAACCAGTTAAAATAACAATATATTCTCTTATTTTGTGCATGAGGGATGCCAGTTTACAGGAATCATCAATATGATAAATTAAATATACGATCAGTGAGCACATAATAGTGTGTCGGTGGCACAGCAGTTACGATGCTCGCCGACCATGCACATGGTCTGGGGTTTGATTCCCGGCCGACGCACTCCTTTACCTCGCCAAGCCAGTAATAAAGCTGGTAAAGAGGAAAGGTTGGGCATAAGGCTAGCAACCCGTTTCTGTAAAAATAAACACCGCCCCAGAAACCTCAAGCCTCTCGCTTAAAGCCCTATACTCCGCTGGGATCATGAAGGATCAAAAAAGCACATAATAGTAATTATAATATTATAAAACACATACGTATTCCTACCTATGTTGGACACACCGGTTGTACAGGCACGCACAAGTATTATTTAAATTACATAAATTTGGTTTATTATGAAATTACACGGTTGCTGTCTTTTTTGTCTTTAGTTCAGTAAACCAAATAAATGGAAGGTGTGGCAGTATGACTGGGTGTAAAAGAAAGAAGACAACGACAATCCATGCATACATAACAGAGTTGAAAGAGAATAAAACAGTAGTATGGTCACAGAAAGTGATAAAAATTATACCGAAATGTTAACCTAAGTAAAGACGACTTAAGTGAGACATTTGGTGCCCCTTTAAATTCTCCCACAGTGATTCAATTAAGTATACTATGGTGTCCCTCTCTTAATATCCCTCAGATCAGGTGCACTGGCCTCTGCATTTTTTCGTCGTCCGTTTTACTACGGTGGCTAACGGTACACATACTCAGCATTAATAATCGGCAACCATACGCTGAACCTTTTGTTCCACTGGCAGTCTCGTTAGTCCAGATTTTATTGTTTCGAGAAGACTGGTACATCTTTTTAAGAGTGGTCATGCAATGACACCAAGAGTTTCTAGATTTACCCTTAAGTCAGGCTGCATAAATAGGCCGAGTGTAAGTGATCCCAACCGCCCACAATTGAAATACATTTTTTCGACTGCTTTGTCCACGTCTCCTGCGTAGTAAGCGCTAGTGCCAGGAGCAGCCAAAGATCATGCTCTGTCAAATTATGGGAGAAGTAGTTTCCGCATTAGCGGTAAAAGAATCTGTTTTTCTGGAATAAGGGCGAACTTTTCATGATAATGCTTAATATTGGGGGCCAGTCCGTTTTTCGTGGTCTGGTTCAACAGGTTAATTTGCTCTTCATGTAACCTGAGTCCTCTATAATTCTCAGGGTCCTCCACAGCATAATATGGTCTCAGTATGAAAGCTATGGACAGCTTAAGTTGTTAGAGAGTTAATTTATAAAGGTCAGCGATAACAATTGACCCATGTCTAGACACGTTACTTTGCAATGTCAGATGTTTACTATATATAAGTACACTAAGTCCTGCCAACCGACCTTACCGGCTGGACTTATTTATCACCTACTGTTGAAGTTCCGCTTGGAAATTCTTTTGCCAATAATTTTTAATAAAATTGTGTCATATGTTATCTAGATTGAGGGAAATTCTCATTTTTTGGCTAGTTATGTTAGTGTCCGCGTCTCTTAGTCTGAATAGCTTCACTAATTATATCTATTATTATTATTACTATCTCTTTTCTCTTGTCGACAATACCGAAGGACTAACTGGCGAAAGGATCAACTCCAATCACAGTAGTAACAGTCTTAACATACCTCATACTACAAACCACATATAATTAATCCAGCACTACTCCCTTTGGAGTCAACCAAAGCTACGACAGTCGAGTGGCGGGACAAGCTACGCAGAAGTTTACCGAAGATCAAGAACCTATACCTCACAATCAAGAAGCGAGCACAAAGAAATCAAATTGGTTTATACTAGCTCGTAAAAACGATATTGGATATTGGATATTGACTGCAACACACTTTCAGCATATTGGTTGCAATGCTTGGTGTTCCAGGTGGACTCTGTCAAAGTATCGCGATAATGAGGAAGACAGGATAGTTAGAGGGTAATGCCATTTACACAAATCGTCTACCTTCAGTTCATACTACCTAAATTGAACCTTAACTATAGTGTTCTGCTAAATCTTGCTCCAGTATTCACAAAACCTATTCTTTTTACTCCTTAAGTTTTTAACTTCTTATGAAGTAATCTGTTCATTAGGATGCATGCACACATATATAATATGTTCATAAAGATGTACGTGGAAACCTATTGGAAGCACTCATTAAGAAAGCTAGGGAGATGGAATATGGGGTACGAACATCTCTGGTACCAAGCAATATATTTGCGGTAGCCATAATAATCATAGTCTCAGAGCCTAACATCAAAAAAGGAGGGAGGGTGGTGCTAGCTGATCAGTAGATATGGTGGTGGTCACTAAGGTGAATCACCCCATTCTTCAGGAACAGCAATATGCAATTTGAAGGCCCGAGATATTTCTGATTTTTATGAGGGCTTAGGTCTTTATCTTGAAAATGATAATAATGAGCGCCTAGACAGATCATACTTCTGCCTTTAAATATATACCATTCGCTCAATCTATTGTTGAGATGCGACCACGCGGGATCTGCACAGATTTATGGGGCATCTTATAAATTAACTTGCTATCCATCGTCAGACCTTTAAATACCACTTCAAAATGTCTTATCTCATTTATTTCCTAATAACGCCTTTACTTGATCCTCATTATATTCCATTAAACCTAACATTTTATAGCTCTTTATTTATTTGATTCGATTTGTTCTATTCCTATTCTCCGTAGGGTGCGGCTGTGCACCAAATAGACAAAAAGAAATGAAAGAAAAACAACTGGCTAGAAAATAATGTATTAAAGCGAAAAGTGGACATCATGATAGTACGAAGTATATGGGTATTATTATACATTGCAAGTGAACGTTGTCGGCCCAAGGATTAATTACTTCCCCATTCTGTTTCCTATATAAATGTATTTATTAATTATATATTGCACTTACTTCATTTATTACACTTTAATGATTCACATTAGCACTTTAACTTTTCTAAAACAGCTTCCGATCCCTTGTGAACGTTGTACTTACCTCAATATTGGTTGGCTATCGTATGCCTACAACTACAAGATGAAAACGAAACGAAGTCGGTTTCCCCGCGCAACCTGGAGGACAACTGTACAATTCAATGGCAGCCTGTAGACGGCCGTAGGTCATTTGATCAGCTGATGGATATTGGCGTTATTTTTGGAAAAGACGTCAAGGTTAGGTCATTTTTCGTTGTTTTACACACTTTTTTACCTATATTCCTGCTAAAAGTTGATGAAATACGGCGTATTTAGCAGGAATAGGCAATGGTGTTGTTCTTATCCGGCCGTAGCTTACAGGCAGTTTACGGTTTGTTGAAAAAACGTACTTTTCCGTTCAGAATATGTCGAATTACTTGAAGACACATGTTATAACGACCATTTCGTGAATTTTTTTCGCATTTTAATGGATTACACATGGACATGATGAGGTGGGATAGCTCGTTTAGGTAATTATTTCAATTATTTTGTTGTGTACTTTTCCTAATGCTGACAAGGCTGCTCCACATGTATTTCTTTAAGAAAAGTCTGCAGAAATACTAAGAAATTATGTACGCACAGTATTTCCTCATTTAATGGCATAAACTTGACGTTTGCAGGCAGATGCAATATCGATTTTGTATTATTGAAAAATGTTTACTGACGTAATTATATACAATTCAACTAATTATTTCGTCATTTCAAACATATTTCATGGTTAATTATTGTGTTTACACTGATAACAATGTCTACATCTGTATAATTCTTATGTTCTTTTTCAGATAATATCTACTTTCGGGAATTTCATGGATTTGGGTGATAAAGAAAAAGATACCTGCACTGTTGTCGATTTTGTATTACATGTTAATTCATTAATAAATGTATTCCTCGTTATTCGTTTGTTTATTCTACTTGATAAGACCGAATATTAGCCCTTGCGTAATTTGTGAGGTATAGAGTATATGAGACTATCTTTGAAATCCTAAGTAGAAGCAGATATTCGGAGAAGCCTAT